TGACGGCGCTTCTCCTTCAGTGCTTGCAATTTCCTCAATAACAACGGATTTACCTTTCTTCGCTGCAATTGCATATTGCCATACATTTTTGAGATCATCAGGCTTTACGGGTTTAGCTATAAAAAATACAGCTCCTTCCTCTAAGCTTTGCAACATGACACTTTCTTGTTCATCTGAGGACATTACTGCATACAAAACAAGGATACATACCCCTTTAAGTGTGTTATATATTTACATTAAATAAGTAATTTCAGAAATAAGATGAAACTGCACATGTTAGCTAGCTAGATTCATTGTTTTGCACAGCATATTGAGATGAAGTTAATTTCTTAAACTGTTGGCTTATGAACTAATATCTTTTATTTCACAAATAAATCAATCGTACTCTTATAACTTTATTCTTTAATATATTATGACCATATTGAAGCTAAACAAGAAAAGAAGGCTTTTTAGTGAGAAATATACATTGGTTTTTCTTTATATACTTTCATTAAATAATTCATAATTATTAAGAAAATAAATACTGAAAAATATATATAGAAGTTAGTAATTTGTATAGAGAAAATGGTTTACTTACTAATGACGGGGACTCTAAATTCTCGGTTGATTTGCCTTTGAAGCTCAATCCCATTCATTCCAGGCATATGTAGATCAGTGACCACTAGGTCAATTCCCGGTTTAGCACGAAGAGTGGACAAAGCATCCGCCGGGGATTTAACAGTTGCAACTAAAATACGAACAAAACATATTATGAGTACACAAATGTAATTGGGTACTAATGAAGGGTTGCGATTTCAATTTTCTTCATTAGAATTTGTTGAATCAAATGAAAGCAAAGGGAATTAAGTAAAACCTTGATTAATTGAATTTACTTACATCCCATTATATATTAAAGAAAATAAGAGAGGGGACAAAAGTAGAAAAAAAAAAGATTTTACTTGGTGGATAGTGAATAAACAAATTCAAAGTGAAATCAAATCTTATGTAACTTTTTTTTTTGTTTTTAACCGAATCTCGTGGAAGTTTGTCCCAATGATTATCAGATGAAAAGCCTTTTCTTGTTTTCATTTTGAAAGGGACATACCTTTCCTACTTCTCTACATTTCCTTTTTTCTTTTTATAAACTTTTTGCCAGCCATGATTAATAAAATGATCCATTGAACATATATCAAAAGAAAGATGTACAAATATGAGCTCAATTGAAAAAGGAAAAATGGAGGGAAAGGATTCAAATGGAAAATTTGTTATAAAACAAAATAAGAAAATACCCATCATCATCACTATATCCACCTACATCCTTGATAAATCATAGAAATAGAGAGATCTACAAAAGGATTATAATTAAAATTGTATCTTAATTAGAAAATAGCATTGAAACAGTTGTCTATGTGTCGTATCTAGAGGGGAAAAAATTATTAAAATTTCAACAAATTCATATACATAACTTTGATAACCTTATGTATATATATTCTTGCCTCATCTAAGTTGTTCTTGTAAAAACGATAGAGAATGGAAGAACTCTATTGGATTAAGTGAAAGACTAGGCAATACCTACGAAAGGCTACCACATATATGACATATACCACTTAGATAATCAAAATGATGGTATCTTCTAAAGAAATGAGAAAGGATTGAAAGAGAAATCATTTTTAATAATATCTTTTCTAAAAAGTTGAAAAAAAAAAGCCATTTTTGGAAAAATAATAAACCTTAAACCCATATACTAATCAGTCGAAAAGAGAATACTGAAACAGATGTTTAGGGCACCCATTGAAAAGGTAATGGAAAACCAACACTAGTAAAAGCAGATGGAAATGAAAGTAGCCAGCCTATAGAACAGAGTTAGCCTGCATGCGCCAAGCCTTTGTACATTATTGTTTATGAATAAGAAGTAAGAACAAGTGAGTTAATTAACAAAAGAGAAGAGGGAGAACCCTAAACAAAAGATCTTCCTTATACCTTCATAGCGCCACTCTTTTAACATCGCAGAGACGATTGCCAGAGAAGTGGAATCATCATCCACGACCAAGATAGTGATTTTCAAGAGGGAGTTTATAGGGTTTGAATACTCTGTTGAAATTGATCTCTTGGAAGCCATATCGCTCGGATAACTCAATAGTGGAAGCAACAATGGAGAATACTTATACTGTGAGCAGCCAATAGAAGAAAGAACTGCGTGGATGCAATTTAGGTGCTACAAATGGCAGGCAAGTCTGGTTTTGTCGGGAGTGATGAGAAAAACTGGCCTAATTACACACACAGGAAAAATTTTCCCACTTATTGTTTTTTTTAATTGATTTCCAGGTTCTTTTATCTTTTGAACATAAGATGAAACTCTGAGGCCCCTGAATTTGACACCAATTAATGTCAGAAATCCAGTGCAGAATCTAGATTAAATGCAATTTACCAAAAATAAGAGGTTCTCACAAGGAATTGTATTGTAAAGAGGATTTCTCAATCTTTATGTTCACACCTCTCTTCCTGGATTGCAAAAGTTTTCCATTTTAGGAGGTTTTTTATCCTCATCACCATGTTTACCACAGTTTCAATTGTTGAAGAAGCTATTTTGTTGATTAATTTCTTTTGTATATATAAAAAAAAGCCTTAGTCGAATAAATTTTAAACCAGGCTTAAGCTTTCATGAAATGTGTGAACTAAAGTTTGTTTAGTCAATTCCTTGTAAAAATCCATCATTTTGAAAAATATGAGAGTGCAAATAAACCGAGCTGAGGACTTAAATAATCAGGTATATTAAATGGTTGAAGAAGCTAACTCAATGAAAAGCTTCAAAACGTTAGTAATAAGTTTACTTAATTTCAAGGGAGTGATCATTACAAACTAGATTTTTAATAGAAGATAGTAGTTGAAGAAATTAATTAACAATTTTTTGGTAGAAAGAATCATGAGGATAAAAAAAAGTTAAGCAACTAAAACTTATATAATTGATGTATTTATCAATTTGTTAAATTGAATCTATAATTAAACGTAGAAAACGACACAAATAAATGAAAATAACGGTTTAATGGATTAAAATAACTGTATTTAATTGTATAATAATTATATCTTATTTACATGTAGTTGTATAATACGGTTTTTTGTTTATATTAATGTGATGTGATTTTTGACAAGTTTAATTTTATATATTCAAATTTAAATTATTTGATCATCCTGTTCCTAAAAGTTTAAATAATTGAGACTTTCAACTTTTTTTTTTAAACTACGAACTATAAATAATTTTGATCAACTTATAAATGGAGGGAAAAACTGTATCAAAAGGTGTGACCAGAAGTCTCACACGAAAACAATGCAACCACCATGAACAGGGCAGCACGTGGCAACAGTGCGACTCTATTTGTTTGGTCATAGGGCTTTTTGTCTAGAACTCATAAAAAAGAAGTAAACTTGTAATAAATATGGATTTGTCTCATGCTTATCCAATGATAATGTAAAATTGGTAGCTACTTCAAAATGGAAGGCAAAGATTGTTTTTCGCATTAATTCCTTCCAGAATTACTCCGTTAATTACCATTCAGACAAATGCCAGACTAAACACAAAACAGCACTCCTTAATTAAGAAAAAGACACAAAAAAAAAAAACCTGTGTTCTCTGCCCACTGTTTGTAAAACCATTTCCCTAACTGGATGGATTAAAGCAAATAATTTCCACCCTTTTCTTTTGATAAAATTAAATTGTCAGGTCCATTATTTAAAAATGCTTCATTTTCCCAAATTAATTAATTACATAAAAGTGTTAGGGCTAAAAAGGGTTTGACTCTCATTTAAGTTAGGCTGAGAATCTTGTTCATCTCTTTACATGACAAATTAACTTTTTAACTCAGGAAGGAGTTAAATGAAATGCACCTAATTATTATCTTTGTTGTCTCTCTACTTAATGAATGAACAGTGAATTTAATGCATAAAACCAATGGTTTAGTGTCCAATGTTTTGTCTTCTCTACTTTACTACACAAAACAAAACAGCTGTTTATCTTGACATATTTATATGCGTTTGGCTGGGAGACTTACTTTTTTATTTTTATTGTTTTCTAGTTTTGTTATTAGAGAACAAATGCAAATAATAAAAAGATTATAAATGACGAAAAATGAGTGAGAAATTGAAATAGAAAAATCATGAAGGAATACGAAGACTGTTTTTTCTTTGTTTTTGGTTTTTATAGAAGTGAACTTTTTATATTATTAAAATTTAAATAAATTTTCATTTTTTTATTAAAGTTAATTAAATTCTTACACTTTTATTTTAAATTAAATTGATCTTTATAACTAATATATAATTAATTAATTATTATTAATTAAAATATTATTTATTATTTTATATCATACAATATCGACATAAAAAATGAAAAATATTATATAACTATGTCAGCATGTCTTTTCACCATCCACTCTAATATATTAGCATACCACATTAGTATCACATAACATGAAATAATAAGTGATACTTTAATTAATAATAATTAATTATAAAAATTTATTTATTTTAAAATAAAAATATAAAAATTTAATTAAAAGTAATAAAAAATAAAAATTTGTTAAAATTTATAAATAATTTATGATAATTTTTTCAATATTATGTCTTTTTAATACTTCATAAATTTGTTTTTATATGAAGTACTCTGGTTTTAATTTTTTAACTTTTCCACGTTTCAAAATACAAATAAAAAACAGTAGCAACTAAATGCTTCAAAATGACCATTTTTATCAAAGTCCCAACAGGCATATATAAGCAAATTATATTCTTTTAATACATCTTTCGTAGTATTATATATTTTTATCCCTCAAGTTAACCAATTTATTTTAAGTATCTATCATAATTAGATCATAGATATTCTCCCTTATATTAGTTGCAAAATAATAATGAAAATCAAAATAGAATTTATACATTCTTTTGCTAAGATATACATTGAGAGAGGAAGAGAGCTCGAAATCAAAGAATTTTGCTTGGATACCATTGAAAGCATTACCTTAATAATCAGAGGATTAACACTTTTTTGTAGGATAAATACTAATTAGGACGCCTATATATCCATGTATAAATTCTAGTTGGTTAGACAAGAGAGTCATCTTACAAATTGAAGAGCTTCTCTAATCTCTATAAATTAACAAATCAAACTTTAATTTTTATATTATTGCTAATTATTTTACTGAATCACATGAATTGCAAAAGAAAAAGTTAGTAACAAAGGATGATTAAATTCTTCTTCTATTTCTTTTGTACCTTCAATTTTGAATCTGATCATATAATAAATCTGTATGCATGCTACAATGCAGCTTTAATCTGTTCATATAATGCCCACAACACGATGCCAATCAACGTGTCTCTGGCCAAGCTCTTGAGAAGACCTTCAACCCAGCCATTAGACTCAGCCTCAGATGAAGTCTTACCTGCAAGGTCTCTAAACCGCAGGTTTCCCTGATCTGATACTAATGCATATATCACACCATTCATGTGCCCCTTTCCAATCACCCCTACCACCGTCTTACAGTTATTCACAGCTTTGCTCCGCTTTAGAGACCACGCGATATACTGAAAACATGACACCAGCAGTTCACCTTGTTAGAGGATCATCAATCATATTCATAGGCCTTCCAAGTTCCAAATTTGGGTGACAAGATCCAAAGAACCAAAAAAGTTCTACAAACATATAGTATTCATGCAGCAAATCTTGAACTAGTAAAGGGTGGAAAAAATAAATAGTTTATCAAGTTGAAGAATTTGATTAATATATGCATGCCCTGTTAGCTGCAAACATAAGAAGAAAAATAAAATCAAGTTTATTCTTTTTGTTTGTCAATCACTGAGAAGGCATCATGCATGGACACATCAGGTTTCCAAATGTTTTACTTGTACAAATACAGGTGTACTTACAGTGTCTCGCTCATGTATGAGAGGCTGAAGAAGTGATGGATAGGAGAAGCTTAACTGCTCATAAAGCTGAAAGGTGTCATTTTCACTGTTCTGTTCCTGCAATGCAATATGGTAGATAAGAGATTTAAGATTTTTAGCTAAACTAGAGAGTTCACAGATATCTTCTTTTGTATCTTTCAGTTAATGCATAAAATTTCTTTCTGTTCTACTATATTTGCCCTTCCTGTTTGAATATAGTATCATCATTTTTTTACCATGAATGACTTATGCCACATACTCTCTAACCATTAGCCAATTTTTGTTCATTTGAATAACTATAGGACATTGTTGAGTGTTGACTATAACTGACATCTATATTTAGAATGACTTTGTCACTCAAGCATCATGTAAAAGTCATTTATGGATACAATGTTTTGCAGTTTTTGCCTGGAAAAATATGACCAACAGCCCTTTGGAGTCTAATTCTTCCAATACAACACAAAATTTTAGCTTTGATCTTAAACAATGATATCCAACCAAAACCTGTCATCTTCTATAAATAGTATATTCCATGATAATCAGGCCCAAATTCCCGTTATCAATATATACTTGCTCTCCTTTGCCACTATGCATATAAACATCACGTGTAGTGTGAAAACACCAAGGGTAATGTTCTATTCCAACTCACAGGAAAGTTCATCATATATTAGTTCAAAACATAATGCACGTCTCCTTGTTAGATAGTTGCAGAAAATATGAAGATATTCTCAAAATGGCTCTTGCATTTTCCCTTTTCCTCGACTGCATAGACCAAGGCCTTATCTAAATTAAGTATTAAACTTTGAAATGTGCACCAACAAATCCAAATTCAATAATAAAACAAGGGACATAAATCCATGTGAAAATATAGATTGGTAAGGGAAAAACCTTGAAATCATTCCTAGATATATCAAATGATGGTGACGTTATCCCACGAACGACTGAAAGCACTAGACTAAATTTCTCACTCCACTTCAGAGAATTCCAAGCCCTTTCAAGCTGCAAAAAAAAAAAAATTCAGGAGTAAATAACTCCTGGTGATTTATGCATCACAAAAGAAAACATTATAGCCTTATAAGTCATAAGAAAGGAAAAGTGGTGCATTAGTACTGCAAGAGATACAGGTCAAAAATTTTCCAAATAAAGTTTATTTAAGATAATTTCAGTATCTATGGATCATATGCTGGAACTAAAATGTGCATACAGTTATTTCAATTGGACGATCCCCCAAAACCATTTGAGCACCAATTTCCTCAGATGCTTTTCGAGCAGCACGGAACTGCAAATCAACCAAAATTTTCACAAGTTGAGATGCACATTTTTTTTTTGGAACAAGAAGCAAATTTGACGATTAATTTATGTGAATCTGACAACCTCATCTCCAAAAGGACGGTTGACATCAGAGGATATTTTGGAAGAGAAAAGTGCGAAAAGTAGACGCAATGCTAGAGCAGTTTGACCTCCTGTCATTTACATGAGCCACATGTAAACAGTTAGCCCCTTCACTAGCACACTCACAAACACAAAAAAAAAATGTGTTGAAGAAATTAATGTTTACCCAAGTTTATGCTACGACCAACAGCACCAAAAAACCCAGTTCCACTCAAAGAAAATATATTTGACCGTAATTGCTGGCCATTGTCAACATCATTGGATGTGTACATGATCCCAGCTCTGAAAATGAACTCTGCAATAATTAAAGTTAAGATGTGGAATGAATATTTGCTGACATTCTATTTCTTTTTTCAGTAGCCCATCAGGCAGTGGCTGACTCATTCCTAAAGTCGTATAAATCTCATTGATGGAGAATTTTCGATTTGCAATTTGAAGAAAACCCTTCTATATGGTTGACAAGTTTAGGAAAGATTCGTACAGGCTTATCCAATTAGCTGTTTATAACTGCATTAGGTATATTTAGTAATGAACCAATAAATTCACAGACAAATAAGCTCAACAAGAGTATTTCAATCTTCCACATTCTCCTGAAAGCATTCAAGCCAACCCCGGTGGGAAACTCTTCACAAATAAGAAATAACAGAATATAGCACCAAGAAAATCAGATTCAAAGCTCAAAGTTCAAACAAAAATTCTATAAAACGAAATAAGAACAATCCAATGCTTGCCTGCTCCTGCAGAGTTCAACCACTACACTGTCAGGCCTGACTGCCCTCACAACACGCTCCACGTCAGCACCTGATTCCTGCGATATATGACTGGTACCCACCAGCCATATCGCCTCTGGTTCCACAAACTCGGTCCTCCAGGCAGGAACAGGACCGAACTGCCGCTTCTCAACCAACACCAACGTCCCATTCTCTGCCAAGTCCGCCAGCTGAGGATGAGTTTTTCCGATTCTGGCAGCTGACTCTGCTAAGATGTCTGCCCTAAAATCGAAGTCTGGTGGTGGGGGTTTGATGGAGACCTTGAAGGGTTTAAGCTTAACAGGCTTTGGTGTAAGGAATTTTGGGTTTGCAGTGACGATTGGAAAGCTTGATTTGAGAAGAATATCCATGGATGGGAAGCTCAAAAACCAGGTAGTTTGGTGTTTGTGTTCCAGGTTTGGATAAGAACAATGTTAACTACCTTAAATGGCTACGCAATTTTTTTCTTCTAATTTTTTCTTTCTGCAGAGTCTTTTTCATTTAGTGGAAAAAAATAGAATTAAAAAAAATGGTCTTAAAATTGAAATTGAAGGTTGGACTTAAAAGTTACACAAAAATAAATAATATCAGTTGTTCTTATAATTTTTCATAGTACATTTATGTATTCTTATATTAATTTTATACCCTTTACGTGTTTAAATTGTTTGATTTAGCATGGAGAGATCTCACATTAATTTTATTTTACAGATAATAATTGTAATCATCAATTTCCTTTTACCCATAATGATTTTGAGCATTAAATCTATTTTTGTTTGGAGAAAAATAAGATAAAGACTTTTACCTACTTTTTTAATTTATTTTTCATGGGATATATGATTTTTTCTTAATTTAATTAAAAAAGAATAAGAAAATTACAGCCAGGTCTTATCTGTGTATAATAAGATCTTCAGATTGACCCTGTGGCCTTGAACAAAGAATTGACAAGAAAGAGGTAGAGAAAACTTCTAGTTTCCACTGAAAATATGGGAATTAATCCCATTTGCCCTGCCCCAAAACCCCATACAATTACAGGTTGATTTGCAAGGCCATTTTGCTCTTGAAAGATCCAAAACTTTCAAAACGTTTTCTTTCAAGCTTTAAATGTACTTTAAACAGAATCTTGCAAAGACAGCTTCCTCAGGGTTCAGGGCACAAGGTTTCTTGAGTTTGGCCCCTACCCTTATCCTAGGCTTAGTCCCTCCTTTCCCTTTTTTTTACAGTTTACTGTACCCACATACTAGTAGCAGTAGTATATTTTTGTAATAATTGATGTAAATGTGGGGGACCAATTAACAAGGATGGTGTCCATGATTTGACAATTTTTAGTACTGAGAATTGTGATGTTTCAAGTAGACCATATCCTTTTGCATTTTATGTGGATCTTGTTAGAGCCTCTACCCTTTTAGTTCCTTTATTATTTTATTGAAAATAAAAAAGACTACCAAAACTTTTGAAAATAATGCAATGTATCCTGCTTGTGGTTCTTTTTCTATAGTTAGAAATTGGAATGAACTTCATTTGGTATTCATGATAATATTTGGTACCTTTCCAGCAGACCCAGAGAAAGGTCCTGATGTGAGTCTATGTGAGAAGATTCTGCAAAACGCTGACATATTTCGAGATTGAAAGGAGAGTTGTCCCCACTGATAATCAACTAGGTAGACGATTGCACCAATACAATTTCAATAACAGGTCACTTACCTCCTCTGCCCAATCGGAGCCAACTTGCTTGTGAGTAGCTCCCAGGCTTCCCACATGCTCATCACCTCCCCTAAATATTGAAAACAGAAAAAGTAGTTGAATGTACCACAAAAATTTCTCCATGGGAAGAAAAAAGAAAGAGGGTTGTTTGCAGGAATGAACGATAAATCAATAATTATGAGGGTCGCAGTCAAGCGGAAGGTTTATAGAGATAAAACCTGATGATCATGATCCTTTTTCCGATGAGCTGGTTGGGACCTTAGATTTTAATGGTGGAAGAAGCAATGAACTGATTATTAACTATGGATGGGCCAACTTCGTTTTTTTTTTTATTTTTATTTTTCTTGTATATATGGGCCAATCTTATAGATATAATTGTTCTGTTCAAAATACAGAGTTTTAACTAAAGCTATTATTGCACTGAGATTTATTGAAAGCTGCAGTTTTTTGTGGCAGACGGACAACCTATGCTTTTATTTTGATAGATATACATCTAACAAAAACAAATTACCCATGCCATGCCATGTATGTTTTTCTCTTCTTTTTAATAGACTGAGAGGTAGGGGACCAATCAGCTCTGAATATACACACAACTGTAAGGTTATATAGCATGTCTAGCAAAATGGGGGGAAAAGGAGTAAACCGTAGGGTCAAAGGCACAAAGAAGTAGTTCAAAATTTTAAATTCAACAAGATATGATAGAGGTAGACATGATTTTGTCGCGGCACAGAACATGGAAGAGGGAAAACTAAAATCACTCTACTCGATCCACCCTTGTGTGTTTCAAATGGTGAAAAAAAGAGCTATCCTTGTCTGGGTGTTGATAGCGATATACTACTGCTCAGAACTTTGAAAATTTCATGGTTTCATTCCAAAAATTTATGCATAAAAAATCTGGGTATGAATCATAAGTCAAGCTATATATGCTACCATGCCAAAATCAAGTCCAGGGCACATGTAGGTATTACTTAAATGGGTTGTTTATTTTTGTAAATCAACATATTTAGGCATTTCTGACACAGAGGATCCACTTTTAATACTGGTAGCCGCAGGTAAAGTGTATGTTGCTTGACAATTAATCACTTAAAAATAGGCACTAGTAAGATTTTCTAAGTCATGAGATTGACAAGGGGAAATTTAGAAACGCAAGTGATGAACACAAACTGAAAACGTTTAATTACAAAGGAAGCTCTCATTAATACATCTACTTCTTTAGAAAGGCCCTTCTGCACATGACCAGCAAAATGAAAGCAAGGCGGAAGAAGAGTAATCGTTGTTAATATCATGAGGTAGACATATGAGCATCAGTCGCACTGGTTCCGGTCCTTTAAGTTCCTTTTTGCTGAAAGGCACAGCCCAACCTTTTAAATAAATGAAGAAAAAAGCTAAAAGTCATACAATTCAGTGAGCAGTAAGCATGAAATAAATTTATGATCACCAACCATTAGATGAGAAAGCAAAGATTGTAATTGAAAGAGATAGATTAGAATAGATAGGAGCAGGAGTAGGAGTAGTATATTGGATATACAAAGGGCAGCCGTGGACAAACAGGTAAGTTACAGCTAATCAGTTTTAAGTTATGTGCCTAATACGTGTGCGCTGTGTAGCCTCCTCCTTACCATCACATCACCAGCGTAATGCTGTCATGGGAAAATGTTTGGCTTTGTAAAAGGTTCCGCGAATTCCCCACGCCTTTCCCCATTGGTTTATTTCTCCTTATAAACCCAGCCCAACAGCATCCAAACGATGAAGTCTTTAAACCCTTCCTACTGCATACGCATGATTCCATACATATAAATAGACAAATATGGCAAATCCTTCAACCAATGTGCCCCCAAAAGATCAGCCACCATCCACCCCAACTGTCCAAATCCCTGACCCTCCAGCCTCTCTTGTGCAGCCGCAAGACCAGTCTCCAAAACCTTCATCAGCGAGCCCACCAGACAACCCATTAGCGAGACTCGTTCATTCTCCAGGCAGGACGACATTGGGTCAACCGCAAGACCAATCCCCAAAATCTCCAAAACCTAGCACCGTACCAACGCCAAGGCCTGTTCAATCTCCAGGCAGGTCTTCATCATCGGCGCTGCCTAGTTCCGGAAGGCATCCGACTTATCGGGGAATACGAAGCAGGAGCGGAAAATGGGTATCTGAAATACGCGAGCCGCGTAAAACGACGCGTATATGGCTTGGAACATATGCGACCCCTGAAATGGCAGCTACCGCGTACGATGTGGCTGCTATTGCCCTAAAAGGTCCCGACACGGATCTAAACTTTCCGGATATGATTCTTTCGTATCCAAAAGTGGCTTCCACATCCGCAAGCGATATTCGGGCTGCAGCTGCTAGTGCTGCCGCTTCCAGGCTACCCAAGCCAGATACAGGGTTATCAAAAGACTCAAAACAGGATCAGGGCGAGCCTGAAAATAAGGGTACCACGTCAGGTAGTTGCATGGAGTCTGGTTCCGGTCAGGAATTTATTGACGACGAAGCGCTTCTAAACTTTCCAAATTTGTTGGTGAATATGGCAGAAGGAATGCTTATAAGCCCTCCCAGGATAAACTCACCACCCTCAGATGATTCACCGGAGGATTCAGATGTAGAAAGCCTATGGACTTACACTTAAAAGAGACTCAAAATTTACTATGAAAGTGATGGTATAAAGAAATGCATGTGATTGAGAAGAAGATGATGATCAAGGTATTGTCTTTTTGCTCTTTTCGCTTCTTCTTTTTCCTACCCCTTCTGTTTTTGATCTATCTGAGGGGTTAGGTGCCCATGGCTGGGTTTGTTTTGAAGCTGATTATATTGGCTTGAAGTCAATTTGCTGTGAGAGCGTGAAAATCTAGCCATAGAAAAGTTAGATGCTTTATCTGTTTCTTATCTTGTGGGCTGAATATTTCAGAGCTGTAATTCTTAAGCTTGCTTTGGTAATTAAAACCAAGAGAGTCCTTGTTTTTCTTATGTTTTTCCCTGGTAGTTTTCAGTAATGAGTGTACTCCTCACCTCCCTGGTGGACTCATATGTTTTCTCGTACGAGAGCTTCTCATCCTCAGAATTATAAGCGTTACACCTTTTCTCTGGTCTTTTACCTATAGTGCCTATAAAAAGCCTATTTCTAAGCAAAAGTCATCACGTCTTACTGACTTGACTTGACTGGTAACAATCATCTTTTATATACTAATTTTCAATTTTCTGAAAGATTTCTGAAAATCATATGCATGTTCTTTTTGGTGGAGATATATCCTACTCCCATTGTATTTTCAAGTCTGATAAAAGATAGCGGCACTGCCTACTCAACATTCAGTCGGTTCATGAATTTACTTTTCGACAAACAATTAGTTAATGGCAATTGTTAGCATTAAAGCAGGCAGGATTCTTTCTTCATTCTGTTGAGGGGAAGTATTTTGCGATGATCGTCATCAAAAGCTTAAACTCGCAAATTAATTGGTAACATATTCAACAAAATGACTTAGTGTTATTAATTTCAATCTCCTAATCTCCTTAGTCCTTAGGATGAAGATACTAAGCTAGGATATACGAACCGCTAGTATATCTTAATTCTTATCGTAATGCTTAAAACTTGTGAGACATTCAGATTTTGATGCTCTATTCGATCATTACTTTTCAGTAAAGAAAAAGGATTGCATAATCTCAAAAAGTCGAAAATAAGATGCTTTATTGTATTAACGGTAATTTTTTGGCATATAGATTGTTAAGTAGTAGGATGTATGTTCAATTTGTTTGCTTAATTTGCATCTTTAATCCAGTCACTTCTTTTGTAGATCGGCATATTGCAGCATTAATACAGTTGTTAAAATGTTTGTTAAACAAAAAACCAAAAATTATTGGGTTAAGCCTTCTGAAGAACACAAGGGTATACTTGCTGTTAATTTTTTGCCCAATGAAAGTCATGTGCAGAGATGAGTCTTTTTTCTTTTGAACAAGATTTTAGACTTAACTTGGCATTTGATACTTCTTACCTTCAATGAATACAAATTTACCTTTCAAAAGAAATTATGTTAAGCGCGTCTACTAGTACTCTTTAAAAGGGAATTTATTCTCCAATATAGTTCATTAATAGTTGCATCTTACAAATTGAGAGGAGACTTTATGTGTAGTCCCATATCATGCTTTGTGCAAAATAATGTATAAATATGCACAAATTAATACTAATATTGTAACAATCAAGACTTAATCTAATGGTTATTATCATTTTCTAAGCAACAGTACATTTTAAAATTCAAATCCTCTTTTTTTGTTTAAATTTTTCTCTATGCATAAAAGAAATAATTAATAATAATTAGTACAATATGAAATGCAACATTTTACAATTTGGGTGTTACGAATAAGATCGTAGATCTAAATATTGTGGTATACTAAAGTATTAAAGTAGTCCTTTGCTTGCAGTAAGCGCAGTTTAATCATCCACAACTGAGTCATATGAGAGTTAGATAGTGTTTATCTGCAGAGTCTATGGTAGAGATGCTGGTTACACTTTGAAATCTAACGAGGCTCACTTTTGAGACATGATATGTGCTATACGGATATCAATGAGTGATAGTGTTATGATAATGTACATTATATATATATATATATATATATATATATATATATAAAGAGAGAGAGAGATTTGATCATAGAAATTATTTCATAAAATCTTATAGTTCAGCTTAACCATTCATTTGGTGCCGCTAGCGGCCTCACTAAAACCTGTCTATTATATGTTGCGAGTAATATTATGACCAATCATAATGATTCTTTAGCTAGATAAAAGGCAAAATTTGTGGCGAAAGTCATGGAAAGAAATGTCGATCCCAAATGCTAAACCCCCGAAAGAGATAAACTTGTGATACTTTTGAAGGTATTGTCTTCCATGGGATCACATGGGTCTTTGCGGTTTGAATGAAGTTATACTAATGCAGGAGACTGTTAAGACACATATTATATAATTATATAATTATATATATATATGTATATATGTATATGTTTTTTAACTTCATCCTTGGGTCCCAAACTGGCAAGTTCTCATCCACAACATGAAAATGCATAATTAAGAACATTTTATAAACACAGGAATATAGTAACAATATTCAATATCTTGTCATAGTTAATTAACCCTTTCTAAATATAGATGAATAGTCTACAACATTATAACAAAGAGAAAGGGGGTTTTTCTTTTCTACGACTCCGAAAGTGAAAAACAAGTAGATTTTGTCTGGGCGTAAGTCGGCAATGAAATTTGCTGTGTAGGTCAAACCGATTTGCCTCCTAAGTTTGAAAATAGGAAGTCGAAACAAAGGAAAGGGTAAGCTTAGTCACAGAAAGAGGCTCTAGTAAAAAGGTCGAAATAATTAAGGTATGAATAAGAACTCGACCGACAAAATATGATCCCCGGGACCGGTAATATCAGAGACCCTATAATGTTTCAAAAGTTACGTTTTGTTCTTCAACGTCAATCTGGAAAAAAGTTCCTATATATTCTACCTTTAACAATTTATATTAACAAGCCTCTTGCTATTCAATCAAAAAACACAGTTATAGAAATTTGTGTGAAGTAGCTAACTAAATGATGATTGCAACTAAAAGTAATAATTATGTTAGAAATCTTTCGTTACGGAAAAGATATGACTATCAACTAAAATATATCTCAATCACAAAAGGGAGAAGAGAATTTAACTTAATCAGCAAGTTTTCCGATAGAGTTTGTCGCATTAACTTAATCATACCATTGATTATATGTTGAAGGCTTCTTTCACCTTCTTGATAATTTACTTTGGTACCTGGTGGGACATGCAATCCTGTAACATTAAACAAACTGGATAGGTGGGCCTGTCTATCATTGATGGTATGAATTTTTTACATTTTGGATTCAGGTAATTTAGGTCGAAAAGCGACTGAACAACATTGTACTATGAGTCCTGTTTCTCTCTCTCTCTCTCTC